CCGTCTGTCTTAAATTGTATAGCCAACTCTACATTCCGTCTGTCTTAAGTTGTATAGCCAACTCTACATTCCGTCTGTCTTAAGTTGTATAGCCAACTCTACATTCTATCTGTCTTAAGTTGTATAGCCAACTCTACATTCTATCTGTCTTAAGTTGTATAGCCAACTCTACATTCTATCTGTCTTAAGTTGTATAGCCAACTCTACATTCCATCTGTCTTAAGTTGTATAGCCAACTCTACATTCCGTCTGTCTTAAGTTGTACAGTTGTCGGAACAGATTAAAGATAAAACTGTATAAACGTTTACAGAGTGAAGCTTGCACATCTCCCTTGATCCCCTGCAGTGTGACAACTTGCTATTTTCTCAGCTCCTTCATAATATTACTGTTTGGAACAATTGTTTAGAAAATCATATTCCAAAGATTGGTATTTATCCTCCCAATGATAACATGCCATCCACACTTGGGCGAATTCATTATATAGTTATTACAGGAAATTGAACTCAGTTCCTTTATAGAATGAAATAAGCCATAATGTTAACAAATATTACAATTGTATGATAATGACTACGATAGAGCGTCTTCTTTAAGAGCATATGAATATTGAATATTCTCGAGGCTGTATTGTTGATAGATGTATTGCTAATTCTAAGAATTTATTGTTGATACAAAAAAAAATGCCCACAAAAACTGCAAAACACAAAATGTCAAACTGAAAATTTGCTTCTTTCTCTGCATGGACCCAACAAACCTTCATGGCATTTGGTGAAGATCCATCGACAAGGGGAGAAGTAGCGGTAAAAAAACGCCCATAAAAACTGCAAAACACAAAATACTCAACTGGTAATTTGTATGTACCTCCTCATGGACTTAGTGAACCTCCATACCAATTCTTGTGAAGATCCATCCACACCCTACGAAGTAGTTACATGGACAGACAAACAGTACTATTATATTTATATAGATACAACAACAGACAGTACTATTATATTCATATAGATAACATACAACAGACAGTACTTTATATTTATATAGATAATATATAACAGACAGTACTATTATATTTATATAGATACATACAACAGTACTATTATATTTATATAGATAACATACAACAGATAGTACTATTATATTTAT